TGCCGAAACTGCACCGATCCGCCTGTCAATCTCCCGTTCCGTCCTTCCCTCACTCGTGAACAAGACCCCGAGATACTTGAACTCCTCCACTTGAGGCAAAGACTCTCCACCCACCTGGAGAGGGCAAGCCACCTTTTTCCGGTCGAGAACCATGGCCTCGGACTTGGAAGAGCTGATCTTCATCCCAGCCGCTTCACACTCGGGATTGTTTTTAATCACTGTAAAGCACTTTGTGTTAAATTTTTTATATGAAAAGCACTTTATAAATAAAGTTTGATTGATTGATTGATTGAACGTATTGTTAAAATTGCATATACATAGCATTCTTGACACTTTTTCTATTTTATTTTACATTGTTATGGTTTTTAGTTTGCTATGTTCAGATAATCCTTAATCATGTCAATATAGGCAATGGTTTATAAGGATATTGGCGAATTTAGTAATGTTTTCTTATTAGCCATGTTGTTTTGATCATTGGTCTGTTGGGTTTGTGTTTGTCTTCTGTTTTTCATGCAAGGAAGAAATAACAACACACACATAATAGGCCTTATTTGTTCAACAAATTTGTGTTCACACATCATGTTCATACATCACATATTTGTTTTTTATTTATAAACATTCTGAACATAGACTGACTTTCTGTTATGTGGATTAAACCACTGTAACACCTCTATGCCTTAAGTACATTACTCATCATGTTGTAGGCACGAAAATATTAACACACATCTTCATGTTACATTTTCATCTAATGCAATTGTTTTTATCTAAGAGTTTACACATCATAATTATAATAAACATACTGGGGGTCAGATTACTATAGTCATAGGATTTTGACTTCCTTTATATACACTTGATGATTGTCAATATTGACCTAACGTTACTTCTTATTTTACATCATAATAACTATAATTAAGAGTAATTATAGTTAAACATATTAGGGGGTCAGATTACTATAGCCATAGGTATCCCCTATTTAACTACTCAATTTATCACTCCTGTCTATTTTAACAAGATTCCACATCATTAAACATCAATTACCTAACTAATTAATAACTACTTAATTTTCAGTAAAATATGTGTTTAAACAACTAAGTAATTAACATTCAAAAGTTATAATCGACATAAAAAATGCATAAGTTCTTCAAAAAACACCTTTAAATGTTTTAATTTGCAGATATGGTATTAATATTCAAAGTTTTTCTATAGAATTCAAGTTCTTTACTGATAAAATATAGATTTTCATAGGGGGGTTAGTTTTCTATAGGTGGGGTCATCATACCATAATAAGATTCTGACCCTGGGGTCAAAATACTATATGGTATGTTGACCCCGGGGTCACCGCACAGGGGTCAAAATCCTATACCACATCGACATAATTGTACTATAAACCATTTCATGTTTACATAGCACTGAGCTGCGGAGACACTGGGAAAATGTATTGGAGGACAGTGGTGCCTCTGCCCCGGTCAGTCAGTCAGAGGCTGGAGGAGTGTGGAGCATGCGGGGGACAGCATTTTTCTTTTCCAAAATTTGTGCCAGGCTTTTGTTGTTTTCATCCAAATTAGTATAGCTGATCTGACCGAAAGCAAAGCTTTTACAATTTTCCAAACCTAAATATTTGCATATTTGTAGTTAACACCCTTTTGATTAAATTTGCTTTAATTTGTGCTGCTGTCAGACCTCCTGGACACAGAAAGGTGTCTTATGTATGCAGATTGCGATTTGACTAAATTCAAATTTAAACTGTTTCATTTATATAAAATATGGATTTAAAAAAATGTGGTGCTGTTAAGGACCAAAATAGTTCATTTTAATGGTACAAGCATGAAACTTTGCCAGAACACTAACACCCCCAGAACTAATATTTGTGGATATGGAACCAAGTCTAATTTAACATTGGAGCTGAGAACTCCGCATGACACAAAATGGACTAAATGAAAACGAGGCAAGCATAAGAAATACTGCATAATCCAGGGCTACTCAACTGCAAACTCAAAAGGTCCACTTACCAAATGAACAGTGTTTCCAGAGTCCGAAAAAGTCATGGTGTATTTCCAAACTTCTAACAAAAATGTGGTAAATCGACATGGAACATTTGAACTATGTACAAAGTAGAGCTTTGTAGATGGCTACTTTAGCAAAGCTAAGCTAAGGGCGCTCTGCTCCCATTCCTCCTGTACCACTGTCACTGCGCTTGTCTCTCTGCAGAGCCGCTCTTCTGTCTGTATCATGTCAGTAGATCGCACCAATACTTCTGCCCCACTGAAAAATTAAAACAGTAATTGAGCAGCAGAAAGAAAGTTTGGAGTGAGCGAGAAACTTGCGAGGGACTGGCAAAAGGCGGGGATGGAGAACACAGCTTCCCGGCATCCCGGAGGATGCACCGTGCAACTTTCCTGGAAGTCATTGGATAGATCGATAAAGCCTGAACTTCACTGACAACCGAAACCATCCTGTCGGGATTCAGACAGGCTGGAATAATTCTAACTGGAACTGGTGCTGAGTCTGACGACAGCTACACAGAAGAGGAAGCGGCGCCCCGTTTACCCATGGAGCTATTAAAATAATTTACCTCTGAATGTTGCAGAGTTGCTCAGAAGTAACAGGGAGGGTGAAGAATTCAGTGGATTTAGATAAACTTGTTATGTTATGTTGTTTATGCTATAGCTATCTGAATAATCAGTTTTTCTCTATTCTGTTGTTATTACTATAACTTGCCTTTCAAGATAAAATGTGTGTTTTTGCTCTCTGATTTTATAAAATATATTTCTCCAAAAAAGTGCGACGTATAGTCTGGTGCAACTTATATCTTTTTTCTTCTTCATTTAGCATTTTTTTGGATACAGAAACATCCAAAAAGCACAGCAAAAAACCCCAAAACAAAACAAAAAAAACAAAAACTGTAATCTATTCCAATGTAGTGATTTGATACTGATTTGTGCTGACTTGTTCAATAAAAACAGTTGCATTTGCAGTTTTTTCTGTATATTTGTATTTGTTGACACTACAAATGTGTTAAAAAAAAACCTCAGGCCTTTCAGTGGGTTTCAAATAATAATAATAATAATAATAATAATAAAAATTCAGTCAGTTCAAAAGTGCAGTGGAGTAGAAAGCACAAATACATACCCTCAAATGTAGTACAGTAAAAAGTATCTCTTTAAAATGTTCTTAAATGTGTGAGTGTGAATGAAACAAAACAACTCCAGGTATGTTTGTGATGATGAAACAATATCATAACATAGATCATTATAACTTATTAAAATAAATATATGAATCTTTTTTTAAATTTAGAATTTCAACTAATATTTTTTACAGTGCAGAGTGCATTTAGACTTTGTTTAAATCTCATGACCTTTTCTTGTTCTTCTATTTGAATTACAAATGATCTACAAACATGACTTTTATAGATTTTGTAATATTTCTGTAAGCTGCTATATATATATCTATATATATATCTATATCTATATCTATCTATCTATCTATCTATCTATCTATCTATCTATCTATCTATCTATCTATCTATCTATCTATCTATCTATATATATGGTTCTGGTCTAGTTCTGTTTTAGTCCTGGTCTAGTCTCTGGTCTAGTTCTGGTTTAGTCCTGCTTTAGTCCTGGTCTAGTTCTGGTCTAGTTCTGGTTTAGTCCTGCTTTAGTCCTGGTTTAGTCCTGGTCTAGTTCTGGCTTAGTCCTGTTTTAGTCCTGGTCTAGTTCTGGTCTAGTTCTGGTTTAGTCCTGCTTTAGTCCTGGTTTAGTTCTGGTCTAGTTCTGGTTTAGTCTTGGTTTAATCCTGGTCTAGTGCTGGGGCCTCATTTATAAATCTTGTTTAATAGTTTAACAGTGTAGTTATACTTATACTTATACTTATAGTTATTAATCCTTTGAAGATGTGTTTGTTTGTTTTTCTCCATAAGTTATTGGATTGTAGTACAAGTGAATAATTTACTCTTTGGGCATTGAATTTGTGCATTGTGTCTTTTTCTGTTTTATCTGTGTGTTTGTTTTTTGTTCTTGTCTTTGGAGAAGATAATGGATCCATTACTGCCCGTGCTGTGCCTTCTGGACACCAGTGTGCCCAAAGACAGGCAGCAGTGTGTCCTCCAGGCAAGCAAGGAGGCCAAGGCCTACAAGGCTACGAGCACACACTGTCCAGACCCAAAAACAGCTTACAAAGAAGGTAACAGAGCGTGTGTTCCAATCCTGTTTCCTACTGTCCACACATTGTAACCGAGCTTTTGTTCCCCCTTACTCATCTTCAGCTCAACAGAAATGTCAGCTGGTCACAGCTTCCCCCACTGAGACACAGATCCTGGGTCAGCTTGTCATCACATTTGGCAAATATTCGGGCAAGAATTTCAAATGGCTGGTCATCGATGGCCGCGTCGTCCTTGAAGAGGTGGACCTGGTTCTCGTCCATCCCCGCTGCTCCCTTCAAGATCTCAATGGCACGCTGCACCCGTGCGTAGCTGTTAACTTACACTACCGCCACATAACAAGGTGGAACAGAGCATTTTGAGCTTTGAAGACGTAGACAGACTAATATATAAAGGGTCACTCAATATGTAAATGAAACACAACTCTAGGTATGTGTTTTGATGAAGTAAGAACCTTTTAACAGAATAAAACCAAATAAAAGAAAATAATACATAAATTCCGACGCTGTGTCCCGCGCATGCGCAGTGGGGCTGACGTGTTGTTTTGGAAAATCACGTGAGTTGCGTCGTCACCAGAGCGAGGTGCCAACATGGCGTCGGACTCTCTTCACCAGGTAAAAAAAAACATTTAAAAACAGCCCATCGCGGCTTTTTACCTTGTTTTTCTCACTGAATCAGGTTTATACCACACTACCGGACTTGACAGAGGAGACTTTGTGATTCGTGATTGCAGAATGCTGAACTTAAAGGCTTGTTTAGCAGCTTTAGCACATGTTAGCTTAGCCGCTGTCACCTGCTTACAACGGTGTCACCCCATAGTAAAACACGCCTCTTTTCTACCCTATTATTAACCTTCATGTGAACTGTTTACCTTTTTAGATTCGCCACTATTTCTTCATTAAATACACAGATCTTTAGCCATGTTGAGCTTCGTGACGTCGGCCCTAGTTTGACTAAATGCAAACGTATTTCCTTTTAAGTCACTTCTGTACAATGTCTGTCGTGGTAAAGGACACTAAAGCTACAGTTGTGAGTAAGCTCTGTTATCTTATACTTTACAGTAGCTAGAAAACATTTAAGCGTATTGAAAATTAGCGCTTTCCTCTTGCTAAGATGCTAACCGTGACAAGAGTAGGAAACATGGCTGAGATTGGTTTATATTGCTTTAGGCTAGGTTCATTTCCTTTTAGTTTATCCCCATGAAAGTCTAAGTTTTAGTATTTGTAGTAAATGCTGAATAATGTTCTCAAATTTCATTAAAACTCATTACAAAACAGTTTTTAGCTTCACTTTTAGTTTCACTGCAGAGATGACGTCCATAGTCATAAACTAGTGTTTGGTATTGTAAATTAGAGGAATATTTAAGTTTTTGGAATATATTGTGATCAAAATAAACCACGACAACAATTCTGAATTTGAGATTGTGTTATTCCAAGGAATTTATTGGTAGTTTTGTGATGATGTCATGCTCCCAGATTGGGGGAGTATGACAAGACAAATTTCCAGACTGATTACATTGTACTTTCTGTTTTTACTAATCTGTATTAAATATTATTTGCCTATAGAATATTGTGATGTCATCTGAAACCCTGCAATAAATCACAAAAAACTCATCATTAAACATAGGTACAACAGATAAAGCATTGTATTAACACTATCTTCACTTTCGGATATTAGTAAATAAGATTAATTAAATTACTATAAATTCATTTTCACTCTGGAAAATTTAACCTGTAGAGGGTTGAATGCACAACTTCTATGACTCATTAAAGATACAAACTAAGTACCTAAGAATTTAATTGTGCTATTTATTTATTGCAGTAGAGGTTTTCAACCATATGACATTTCAATATTATCATTTAGCATGTCTATTTACTTCAGCAGTATATATCGTACTTTAAAATTTGTTACTTTGACAGACATACCCAAAACTATTCAGCCCTAATTGAAAAGACTAAGCTTTTTAAACTAAATATTCAACTTGTGGAATGATTTTGCGTGTAACTTGATGTTGTTTCTTCTGCTTCTTCTTTTGTTTTCAAGGTGATATTTGAGCATGAAGGAGTCTTTATTCACCCTAACAGTGATGATGATGGCATTGACCAGGACTTACTTATTTCTGGTTCACTTCGACTTGTGGACAAGGTAAAACTATGGGTTTTAGATCGGTCAGAGGGAGCAGGGGAGAGGGTCAGACGGGACAGGGCAAAGGATCAGACAGAGGAGTTTAATTTTATCTTTCATTTATTTTCAGGACAGTGAAATCCTTGTGGAATATAAGCCTCTGGAGGACACAGTGGACCCCTCAAACATGCTCTGTGCAGGAAAGGTTTGTTACCAGTTAACAAAAATTCTGAACTGCAGCTGTGTTAGTTCAGAGAAATGAAACTTGAGACATTTTCTGAACTAATGTATATCTTCAGTTCCTCATTTACAAGAATACAGTGCAAAATGCATTAAGTATAACAATGAGGTCATTATTTTTATCTCAAGAAAAGATGACATTTTGTTTACTCAGAATGTGAATATTATTAGATAAGTGACATGATGAGTTTCATTACAGTGTATTTTTTTTTCTTATCTAAAAAATGTCTAAAGTTTGTTAAAAAAAATATTTTAAATTGTGGGTTGGAGACAGCTGGAGGCAAAAGTGAAGTGGAACCTAATGTGATTTAGGGGGAATAGAATATATAATAGAATAACACTGAATATGAAACATCAAAGTGGCTTTGACAAATGAGAATCACTCAGACACATGTGAGTGATATCAGAGCCCTGTTTAAAGACATGTTTTATCTTGTGTAAAATACAAATTTAAGGCCGAGGCTATTTTTTTCTTATTGTATGTAACAGTGAAGCAAACTAACTGACATGTCTGACCTGCAAATTGTTTCTTATTATTACTAGTTAATTAATGAAAATGTGCTATGGTCTATTTAACTATACTCAAAGTTGCCTCAAATTTTGAATGTTCTGATGACAGCTTTTTAAAGGACCTATATATCTGACAGTACCGATTAACATTTACATGACTAATGTCATGTAATGAAAACTTCTAGACAAAGGCTCTTACAGACAAGCCTGATTTTTGACTTGTACATACAGTATTAATACTATTAGAGGCATACTGTGTGTATGTTGTGTAATACTGAAAAAAAATAAAAAATAGTTGTGATTTTTTTGATATGCATTGTGATTACAATTATATTTACAATTTATGTTTTAACAATGGGATGTTGTTCAGAGTTCATTTTTTTCCTGAAGAATTGACAAGACTGAAATACGACAACCTAATACAAGCATCCCATTTCAGAACATGTTTGTACAGATCAAAATTACATGGTTAGCAGTTTTTATGCAAAATGAGTCAGGAGATTTTGTTGTTTGTAGAGGAAATTATGGCACTTAAAAAACTGCACCCTTTGAGATTTGCTCACTGCGTCCATTCAGATTGTGATCTTGATTGGAATGAATCTTGCAGCCATAATTGTGTGTTGTGATCAGGACTCAAGCTCAGTGGTGGAGTGGGCCCACAGTCCAGGAGAGAGAGTGCTGGAGACTCAGCACAGCTATGAGACCGAGTGGGACATGATCAACGCAGTGAGCTTCAGGAAGAGGCCGTGCTCCAATGGATCCAATGGAGAAGGTATAGATAAACACACACACACATACACACGCCATTGTAAATACAGTTTTGTTCTGTGAATGGTTTTAGTGAAAAATTAAGATGCCACAATTCAATATAAAATTTTGTGTTGCAATTATTTTGAAAAGAAATATTTGTCATTTTAATCAGTTTTATATTTATATTATTCATATTGACACCATAAACAAGCAACACTGAAATCCTTAATTCACTTTCATTCAGATTTATCCAAAATTATCAAATTGATTGTAAATTACATTTTTTAAAAGAAGAGTGCAGTTTGAATCCTTTCAGGCATATGTCATATGCACAGCACATTTTAGTTGCATACAACTGAAAGGCTGATTTTCCATCTTAGAAATATATTTAAAATGTAATAGAATTTAATAGAAAATTAAATGCATAACCAGACACTACATCTAAAATGTGATTATTGTCTCTGGTCTCTCGTTAGGCTTATTTTGTGGTTGTAGGTGAAAGTGTGCTTTAAGGTATAGCCATATTAATGGGATTAATCTGATAGACTAGCCAGATCCTCCTCCATCTTGCCATCTTGTTCAAAGTATTGTAAAAGCATGTATGGTCTTGGCTGTTCAGGCAAGGGATTAACAGAAAAGTAAATACATAACCCAACACTATATTTAAAACATGCTCTCTTCTTTCATTGTCTTTGGTTGTGTCTCAGGCTCTCTACATCACAGTCACGAGCGCAGTCGCTGGGCCTTCAGCTTCAGTCTGCGGGAGTTGCGCTCTATCACAATAAAACAGGAAGGATGGAGTTTTCTGATTTTCAAATTAAAAGACTCTTCGTCCTGTCTGCCTGCGCTGCACTTCCACCAGGGCGGCAGCACAGAGTTCCTGGATGCGGTCAGGAGATACGCCCTGCTCAGCGAGTGAGTACAGGTCACAGGGGCTATATAAAAGGGGTGCGGGGTGGGCCTTGCTGACCAAAATAAATATTACAACATAGGTGGATAAATGCTTTCTTGATCCTGAAGGAAATTCAATATATGTTTTACTTTTTTCCCCTGTGAAGTATTACACTACAATAGTTTATATGAATCAAAAATGTTCCCCACACAAAAAAGTAAACACCCTGAAATATCAACTCAAATCTTTGCCAGGTCAAAGGTTTGAAACTTGTGTGGACCAATTGCTACAGCTGACCAAGACACTTAATCACCTTACCTAGAATGATTGTGGTGTGTGTGTGTGTGTGTGTGTGTGTGTGTGTGTGTGTGGGTGTGGGTGTGAGAGTGTGTGTGTGAGAGTGTGTGTGTGTGTGAGAGAGTGTTAGTTGTGGTCAGATTGGCAGTCTGTTTTACGGCAATCTGCCCCAATCTGATTATTATCATTACAAAGCTCTAAGTACATGTTCTTAAATGCATGGGATTGTACTTTTATTCTATTAATTTATCAGTTTGTATTTTAGTCTTCCCTGGTTTTTACTATATCTTACATTGAAAATCTAATCTATTTATCAAAAAAAAAATAAAAATAAAAAATGTTTTGGGCACTATATGACAATACTGAAAAACTGCTGGAGTCAGCGTGGCCCTTTATTTGTTTAACATCCTTCCTACTGAAACAGGCGTTCTAAATTTGCATGTAAACCACCTCCACCTTTCACTCTAAAAATGGCTGACAAACTTGCTTCATAAGACTCAGCAGTTTTCTGTCAAAGTTCAATCAGTGGCTTCAAACGTCTTCATAGATTTTAATATGTATTGTTTTTCCAAAAATCATTTATATGCTAATGTTTTATTTACATGCATTGGAAACAGGAGAGCCTCACCTTGGCTTTGCACGTCACTTGCCTGCTAACTCTACCTCGCTGTGATAACTGTTATTAAATTTCTTATCTCTCGGTCAATAATAAAACATGCTGATTTAAGAGCAGAGGGTTCAGGCTCAGAGCGCTGTTTGTCTGTCAGTCCATGTGTTTGTTACGTTCATGTGAGCGTGAGGAGATTAAGAGATGAATGGAAAGATGAGATTCTATGTTTAGTTTCCAGGAAAAGGTGGTGAGTCATGGTGAGGATCATACAGAAGATTACACTAGGCTAAAGATTTATTTAAAAGACAAGTCTGTGTAGCGTTGATACTTTGCAGTGACATCACACTGGAGGTTCTTCTACACTATTTCTATGATGGAATGTTGCGTAGTCACCATGTTGACACAATGCACACATTTGCAAACACAGCCAAAAAGTTTTAAGATTAGAGCAGTCGTTACAGTTAGCATCATATCCCCCATATTGTCTTCTCAGATCTGCAGATGATGAGTCCTGTCTTGTGGTGAGCACGCCAAACAGAGCTCTGTCCCAGTCCTTTGAAAACCTTCTGGATGACAACAACTACAGCCTTGTCAATGTGAGCACAGACATCAGAATTTTGTTTATTAATACTGACAGAGAAGAACTTTGTGTCAGTTTTTGTTTTATGTGGATAAGCCCGGTAATTAGAGAGATATGAACTATAAATGAGGTTAACAAATCTGCAGTCTTCAGGTTGTCAGCTTCTTTTCTGCTGAACCCTCTAACTATTCAATGGGCTGTTACTTGTTTGCGCTGTTTCATTATTTATTTTTGTCATAATTCTAAAATGGTGTTGCCAACTAGTAATGTTTTTACATAAGTTTGTATGTTAAAGCAAAATAATTCAGCAAAAACACCATTTTAGACCATTTCCTCTCATGAAGTTGGATATGGAGTAGTTTGTTTTGTTTGTATGTGTTTTTACAGAAATTAAAGAAAGACCCTTATGTGACAACACTGGGTGGTTTCTCTAAAGTGACTAACTACCTGTTTGATGCACTAAGAGGGCCAGAGGAGCAGACACGGCGCCCCCCAGAGGAAATGGCAGATCTGCTCGGGGAGGTCAGATTTAGTTTTAGTTTTAATTTAACCTTTGTGTATCGTTTTATGTTGCTTAAATGAGATGGACTCTTCTGCAGGTGATCCCAGGACTGGACATAAACCAGCAGGAAGAGCCAGGCTTCGAGGTTATCACCAGGGTAAGGGAGAGGGGACATGTTTTTATTATATTTTTATTTTTCAAAATCAAGAGTAAAATGTAAGGCTGTAGATTAGTGTTTTACGGGGCCATGTGCAGTTTGAGAATTTTTTTTTTAATTTAAAGACAGATCTCCTAATGCTTTTGTTATCCTTTTGGGTCATTATTTAGAACTACATTTAGACTTGGTTTAGTCCAACTTTAGATAAATTATATGATAAAGTCCTAGTTTAAATCTGGTAGTACTCAGAAAACCAAAAAACATAAATGTTACTTGGTGTGAAATATTAAACAAATTAATTTAATGTTACCTTTACTGAATATGTATCCAATTAAGGGTGCATTCACACCTGGTTTGGTCCAGGTTTGATACCAGTTTAGTCCTGACATAGTCCTGGGTTGGTCTAGTTCTAGTCTTGGTTTTGTCCCAGTATAGTTTGGGTTTAGGTTTGTTAATCGTCCTTTAATTTTCTTCCATCCACACTCAAAGTATGGATTCAATTATGCTTGTAAATTTTTTTGAAATATATGAAATACATTCCTTTGTTTTCCCTCAGATCGACCTGGGCCCTCGTCCATCTGTGTCCAGGAGAGACCCAGTGTCTGTGGAGGAGTGGACCAAGCACCAGGATCCAGAGGGGAGAGTGGTACGAGTGCCTCAGCTCAAAGAAGCCATCTTCAAAGGGGTAAGACCATAACATTACAAGGTGAGACACAACCACATTATTACTGCTTCTGGATTTTAAAGTGCATATTTTTGTAATTATGACTTGGTTAGGTGGGATAGTACTTGTGGTAAATATTCATAGTTTTACATCAATCATGTGCCCTTTTGTTAAGAAAAATAGACTATATGTTTTGGCCCTAGGTGATGCATCTCTACGAATGTCACATCTACGGCCCATGTCTAACCAGGAAGTAAAATTATCACCCTCACCAAAATTACAAAACTAGAAAAGACTAAGCAAGATTTTTAGTAAAATTTTACATTTAGCTACATTAGTTACGTAACTATTAGAGAAATGAGTAATGATTACTAATCTGTCATATGCACTTTAAATAGATAGATAAATACTTTATTGATCCCAAAGGAAATCAAATTTTGCTAAACTGTAAACTACACACTAATAGGTTTTTTTTGTTGCAAGATTTAATCTTGTGTAAATTTGAAGTTCACAAATTCACCAGAATCAATGTGTTTTGAGTCAAATTACTGTAACTGACAGATGGGACCATTCACAGGGCAGCCTTGAGGTTTGGGTGGAGTCAAAGGCTTTTCTCGGGAATAGACAAAAGATTGATGTGGGAGTGGGACTGTTGGCTTTGACTGGTGACAAAATAAAGTGTTATATGGGATGATTCTGTTTGTGTTTAGGGTCTGTGTCATGCTGTGAGGAAAGAAGCCTGGAAGTTTTTATTGGGATATTTTCCCTGGAACAGCACAGCGGAGGAGAGGAAGGCTCTACAGAGGAGCAAAACGTAAGGATCACATCACCACCGTCATCGAAATTGAAAAGAACAGTTTCAACAAAGCTATCCCTGAAACATGCACAATTGGCTATCAATATCATATATCAATATTTTAAACTTTTTGAAGCTTGAGGACATTTTGAGTGTGGTAGAAGTCACTCTTCTGTATAAAAAGATCAAATATGAAAACTGTTTTATATATGCATATATATATATATATATTGCAGTTTTGTCCCTTGTTCACAGAGACGAGTATTTCAGGATGAAGCTTCAGTGGAAGTCTGTGAGTGAAGAACAGGAGAGACGAAACTCACGCCTGAGAGACTACCGCAGTCTGATCGGTGAGGGGTTAATGCAAGTATAAACTGCTAAGGATGGATAATATAGTAGTGACATCATGCTGGGGGATTCTGTATATATGTCTATGATATATTGGGATTTTGACTCAAAAAATACATTTGACTATCATAATATATCCTATATAACCAAATAAGCCACTGTTCAACTTCAATACTACTTTTCTTTTTTTTTTTTCAGAGAAGGACGTGAACCGCACGGATCGAACAAACCGATTTTATGAAGGCATTGATAATCCAGGTTTAGTTCTGCTCAACGATATTCTCATGACGTACTGCATGTACGACTTCGACCTGGGTAAGCAAATGCAATCACTTTACTTTGCCATGTTTGTGGTTTTATTATGAAGTTTTATTTATGTGTTATAGTACATTATATTTGCTTCCAAATTTCCCTGCTTGTCTCCATGGAGATGTGGTAGCTTTGCCTTGAAATTTACACAGCATGGAATTAAACAAATTTATAGGCATTTTTTTATTGCTCAAAAGTACCTTGAAAAACATGCATTCTTACTGTGAGCGGGCTCACCTCTTCACAGATCTGATCTGTTACTTGGTCTTGTGATATTATTTGCTTGTCTTCGTTTAATCTTATACTGTGAATGTTTCAGGAAAAGCAATCAGATCTCCCTTGAGATAGGCAGGTAGCAGACCCTTCACCAGAAAAATTATAGTGCTTTTTAAAGAATTTCACCTTAATATAGTTAATCTTTAATCAGTCATTTTTGCTGATGTAGGTATTTCTAGATCATTGGAGACTGAATGGGGAAATCAGATTTTTATTTAAACATATCTGGTCTTCTTTGCTCTTTATTCTATTTCTGATTCTAACATATATTTTTTAGAGTTTTTACCAAAATGTATTTATTTTATTGTTTGTTTTCAGGTTATGTTCAGGGCATGAGTGACCTGCTGTCTCCCATCCTCTATGTGATGGAGAACGAGGTGGATGCGTTCTGGTGCTTTGCCTTTTACATGGACCAAATGGTTAGCACAGGTTAAACTTTAGTGATATTTAAAGGTCCTGTAGTAAAAAAATTGACTCTTTAAGCCGTGTTGTCATGCTGTTACCTTCTCAAAACATCTTGAGTTTTGTTTCATTCACACATTTAATTAAGCCTTTATTTATTTATAACTTAGTAACTTGGAAAGGCAAATAATGGTGCAATGAGTTTGTCTTTCTCAGCCCTAGATAGAGCCTCTTTCCAGTGAATTCTAATGTCTTGTTTGTTTGTTTTTCAGCATCAAAACTTTGAGGAGCAGATGCAGGGGATGAAAACTCAGCTGGTGCAACTTGGCTCTCTGCTGCGGCTGCTCGACCTGGCCTTTTGGAACTACCTCGGTACAAACTCACTGTTACAGTTCTTTGGGGGAGGAAGGGCTAAATTTACCCATTTACCAAATAAATGTGTGCCCAGCTTTAAAAGACAAATTCTACCACAGAACTCCTACCTGTACTCCAGTTTAGTGTTAAAGAATAGGCAGTGGGTGTTGTCATGTGAATCCCACCAGTACACTGTAGTCAATAGGAGCAGTTGGAGGCAGCATGTATGGTAAATGCTACATCACATGCTTTGCCTTGTTTTCACATGTCTCTCCACTGTTTCTCCACAGAATCTCAGGACTCTGGGTTCTTGTACTTTTGTTTCCGATGGCTCCTGATCCGCTTCAAACGAGAGCTCAGCTTCCAGGACGTCCTTAGGCTCTGGGAGGTCAGTTACCATGTTTATAATCTTTAAATATCCATATATATTTCTTTACTACTACTACTTCTACTACTACTACTACTACTACTATCACTACCACCACTACCACTTTTTATAATAACATAATTTTAATGTGTACAGTGTATACTGTGCTTAAAGTGTTAATGAAGCAGTGTTGTGCTCAGGCACTGTGCATACCTGTCTCTTCCTGCTTTTACTCCTCTTTCCTCCTCTTCTCCATCTCTTCTCTCCCTCCTCTTCTCCATCCTGTTGTGCATGTTCTATCTTTGCTGTTGTGAGAGGCAGTGGTCAGCATGTGACCACACAGCCAACATTAACCATTTCCTTGTAATAATATTGTATTTTCTTCTTGCGTTTGCGTCTGTGTGTACAGGTGATGTGGACGGAGCTCCCATGTGAGAACTTCCACCTGCTTGTATGTTGTGCCATTTTAGACTCTGAGAAACAGAAGATCATGGAGGAAAACTACGGCTTCAACGAGATCCTCAAAGTACGGCACATTTTGCCATAATTTAATGAAGGTTTATAAACTGTAAACTGGAGTTATGCTCAATCAGGTTTTCTCTTTTTGTAGCACATCAATGAGCTGTCGATGAAGCTGGACATAGAAGAGATTCTACACAAAGCTGAAGGCATCTGTCTGCAGATCAAGAGCTGCAAGGTACAAATAAACTGATACTTTTCAAGTCCTCTATATAGTCCTCAGGGCTGCCCAGTATATCACAATCAGAATCGTAATTTGCATTGGTGCAGTTATTGATGGAAAATCTTTTTTCACTTATTCAGGCCAATCAGATCTGCGGAGAGGCAATCCCACTCATATTACAAATATTTTTTAGCAATACAAACATTGCACTTTTAAATACAGTTTACAATTTCTCTTGTTTCTGCCAGGACTTGCCCCGATCCGTGAGTTCGATCCTGGGTTTCACCTCTGACCCCTGCGACTCTTATGATGACTCTGACCTCCGTGACCCTCACAGAGCCTCACAGCGAGCAAATACCTACTCCAATGGACATGGACATTTATCAGAGACCCCTGCCCTTGTCTCCTAACCCCCACAGAGCAGAGGGGAGTGTACAGAAAGAAGACTATTTTTGTAATTTCTCATTTTTTCTTTATTGAGTTGTCATTCCTTTATCCTGATCATTTAGAGGGGAACAATTTAACTTTTTTACATTTTAAATATTGCAGCCTTGGGATACTGTTTTTTACTGCCTATATTGTGAGACTAATGGTCAGGAAGTAATTATTTACAATCAGCTGCTGATGATTCAAATGCAGATATTTCATCACATGTTTAATATATCAGTAATTACCGGGCCTATCCACAATAAGATGAGACTGCAGGTGAAGAGCAAAAAAGTGATATTTAAAGAAAGTTGAACTTTGCACCAGTTTTTGTTTCATGTTGATTGGCCCAGTAATAAGAGAATGTAACTATAATACCTTTATTCTCACTGTACTTCTGTGACTGTAGTTCATATGGAGAGAACATAGACTGTATATAGAAGTGGACTAAGGGAGTGTGATGTTACCCACAGTGTTAGAATCCAGCCAAATGAAGCCAATCAAGGCTTGGCAGTTATGGTCGGCTAATTTTTTGGAGATCCATATTTAGAAATCTGACTGTGTGTATCATAGCAACCAAAGAGCTAATCAGAAGTGACGCTGTTACTCGCCCCAAACTGCAGGGATTGGGCAGGAAGCAATCAAACGTGTTGCTAACATTAATCAAAGCGACCTTGGGGAAAAGAAGCACCTGATTGGTCTGTTATTAATGTTCATATCTTGATTGGGCACAGTAGTGAAAGAAAAACTTTTAAGGTCAGAATGAAAGAGGAGTGACATTTTTTCTATAGAAACTAAGTAAATTGGAGTCAGAGCCAAATAGTGCCCATGCTCACTTCCTATTTGGAACGCAGTCATTTTATTTATATTTATATATTTCGGTGTCTCTCATAGCTCTATATATATATATATATATATATATATATATATATATATATATATATATATATATATATATATATATATATATATATATATATATATATATATATATATATATATATATATATATATATATATATATATATATATAATATATATATATTATATAGAGGCTATGGGAGAGACCGAAACGCCAAAGAGATAAGGAAAGTTATGTTGTTCCCCTCTGAAACAATCTTTGGGTTAGGAGCTCAGACAGTAGAAGGACTAAAATATGGCACTGCACTCAAATGTAATAAAAGAAAGAAACATTAAAGGTGCATTAAGTAACTACTGGTGGAAGGTCTACCACCTGCTTGTCTCCATAGAGATGTAATTGCTTTGCTTGTGTTCTACAGATCTGATCTGTAACTAGGCCAGTGTTGTGTTCCCAGGCAAAGCAACCCTCTACCAGAAAGTTATATAGTGCATCTTTAATATACTACACAAACCAATGCTTCCACTGTCTTTGCTCATAACACAATCGCAATCTATTACTTTCCAATTCTGTTTTTACCTTTTACAAAATAATTTGTATGTGAGTTTCCACAGACAAAATGCTGGCTTATTTCACTAAACCATCCTCAACTGCTCTACATATTTTACTCTGGTGGTGACTGCTTTTTCTTGATTTCAAATATAAAATTCTTGAGTCCCTGAACAATGTACTTTCCTTCAGTATTAATCACAAAGAGATTATGGTGGCAAATTGATTCAAATATTAAGCTATTCATTTATTTGGGTGAACTAAACAAGCCTCAGTGCATTTTCTATGGAGCTACTTGTCACAAAATATTGACACTTCACAAAATGACATTGTTCGGGAAAAAAACATATATTAACAATAGAGGAGGAGCAGACAGAAGCAACTTTAAAGGTGCACTATGTAACTTTTCTTGGGAGGAGACCGCCAACTGCTTCCATGGTGATGTTTTGACTGATTCGACTGGAATGCTCAGCAGTATGGCATTAAACGTTTCCATCTTGCATTTATTTAATCACAGGTGTTTTTACTGCTAGGGAAACAAAAAATTTCAGAACTTATTTTTACAGAGAATGGGGTCGCTTCTCTACAGAGCTGTTTAAACTATGTCTAATATTTATTATATGGATTTGCTGAACTCGGAAGGGTATCCTACATCCCTTACTATTAGACTGGAGATTTCAAACTGCGATTTAAGTGATTTGGAATACACAAATCCTGGACAGCAGAAGTAAAATTCTGTCATCATTATTATTTTTGTTAACATTTTTCTATTTTATGTGAGTCTCTTTAAGAAGGTGAAGTTAGTTGCTGTCTACTCCTCTAAACTAGCAGCATCCATATAAGATGCTTATATCATATCAGTTACCACCATGCAGTACTGGGCATTGTCTAAAACCAACTTGAAATCCCAAATTGTAACTTTTATTTAGATTTTTTTTTTTTCTTTTTCACTTTTCAGTCAAAACAACACAAGTTTTGCAGTTTGTATCTATTCAATTTATGCCTTTTGTCCACATATATTTAAACTGTGTCCCATTTAAACTAAGCTGTTTTTAAAAAGTCTATTTTGGCCATATATATTTTCTGTACATTCACGCTTTCATTTTGAAAACATCATTGTGTCGGTGAAGGAGGAAGCGCTGTGATATTTAAACATCCGGGTCAATAAAGTTTATGATTTTGTCAATAAATAAATGGCTTTATTAAGTTGTCAGTTCAGGTAGATTACTTTTTTACAGCCATCAACAACTATCAATCTCACTTCATATGATGATAGAATTCAGGATTTTCTGCGAAACAAAAAGTAAAAGGTAGCTGCTAACTTAAAAACTACAGCTTCATGGCATGACATTTTGATCTTTGGAGATTACAGACTAGACCAGGGTTACTCAAACGTATGAATGAAGCAAAATACGACTCTACGCACGTTTTTTGATGGGCTGACAGCATTATAACAAGGCTTAAAGCTCACAAGGATCCATTTTGTGTAATATAGGACCTTTAAAGGGCCACTATGAAACTTCCCTAGTGGGGGCGTCTGCAACCTGTTTGTCTCCTTGGCGATGTTATTGCTTTGCCCATAAAATTCTACAGTAGATGATGGAATTAAATCTCACCATAGAGGCAAGCAAGCGACGGTACCAGGCTAAGTTCCAGGTCAGATCTGTGGAGAGGTGACCCCATTCACAGTAAGAATCCAAGGATTTTCAAGTTTTTCTTTTTTGCAATAAACACATCTGTAATGTCTCCACGGTTACATGTTTAGAGAGGACCTTGAAAAAAGATACGTTTAATGCCATAGTGTGTTTAATGCATTTTTGCTCTCGTTTTATTCATGTTTCATTCATAAATCTGTAAAATGCCACACTTTCCTCTGTCCGTCTCTCTAAATGTCACTGTGTTCTTTAAACCGGTGATGGACGTCAGCGGAGCGCGTGTTTGGCCCGTTTGAAGTCTGGCCTCCCCGTGCGTCATGCGTAAAGGCGCACGGCTATCACCAAAACGCATCATCTCATAACCGCGCTCAACGGACACCACAGACGAAGCGAGCGGAGCCGAGCTGCTTTCATTTCCGCCCTGAGGAAATTGGAGCCCGGGTTTGGCGCTGATAATGCGGGCTCGAGGCGGGAGAGTTATCGGCGCAGGATCGTTCAGGTTTAATAAAGCCACCGCCACCTGTCCGTCACCGGGAAGGGAAGGAAGCGTGACGTGAGACGGTGAGTTTGGACAGCGAGGACGGACAAAATGGAAGAGAAAGGCTGTGAAAAGAAAGGCTGTGATATGATCCCCATTCATAAAAAAAAAAAAAAAAAAAATCAGGATACACACAAAACCCTTCAGATAAACATAAATTTGATTTCACAGAGAAAGTTTTAATTCCTCTTCCCACTGTCAGTAAGTCTACAAGTGCCAAAAGCATTATGTCGAAATTTATGAAATAATTTGAACATTTGTGTTTCTTGCACCACTTCTCCAGATATGATGTCCTTTCAGTTTTATTCACTTCAAATTATAATTGAGATGTTACGTCTGACAATGTTAAGTTACTCATACTTGAGTAGTAGTTTTGCCAAATGGGTTTTCACTCCTACTTGAGTAATTTCTTGGTACTTTTTTTTTTGTACTTCTACTTGAGTAATATTATTTTTGAAGTTATGTTACTCTTGAGTACGATTTTTGGCTTTTCTACCACCTCTGAAAATAACGGCTGTCACAAGTTAAATCGATTTATATCATTTCAAATATCAACCAGAAAATTATGTAGAAATGTTAAAGTTGCCAGCCAGCCCCATTCATAAAATTTCATTATAGTTTTTACTACTTTTTACAACTCTGAATGAAAAAAGTAAAATGTGTAGCGTTTCAGTATAATGTGAGTAATGTATAGAGGGATTTAAAAATTATTATTAATGAAATCAGGATTTAGATGGTACTTGGAATCCTGAAGTCTTTCTCAAATCAAGCGTGAGGCCATCAAAATAGTGTCTTTTTTGCAAGCTAATCATTTAATCTTCTGTATTTTCAAGTTTTGATACATTTTTTTTTTAAATATGTCATTATGGTCATGACGTCCCATAGCTTCTTCTGTCAACTTTTCTCATTCTCTCTCTGCCTCCCTCTCCCTCTTTTTCTTTTACATCTATGTTTATCCCTCTCTCTTTATGCCCCCTCTCTTTTCTCTCTCTCTCAGATATAAGCCCACCTCTGCTCTCTCTCTCTCATTCTGCTACACCTGGCCCACCTCCACCCTTCTCCTCTGCTCCATCCCCACGATCTAGCCACCATCTCTGGGTGTGCCTCTGCGTGTGCCCCCGGTTTACTCCTTCTCTCACTCCCCAGGATCAAGTCACCAAGTTGTCAAGTGTGCGTCTTCATAGCAACTTTGGACTCTTTCTCATGAAAATTTTGAGAGTTGCAGGATTTCTTTGGGCTTGTTCCACTTTCACTCTTTAAAGAGGTAATTTTTATCCTTTTTTCAATTCAAGTTCATGTTAGTAATGACCACATGCAGTCTATGGTAATGACTAAAATACAAGCTTAATGTTTGAAATTATGATATAAAAAAGTATGCACATCTACATTTCAAATTTGATTTAGCACTAAGGAACAGACTCAGTCCTCAATATTGATTCCCATTCCACGATTATAATAAAACATTTTCAACATTAAATCATAGTACTTTTGTTTATATTATCATGTTGCCTTTTATCTGTGTAAATCCCTCAGTAGTCCAGGTAAGTTTCATAGTGGTCCATGGGCATATACTAGTCTGTGTTCTCTTATACTTGTTCTGATACAGCTCAAGATCATTCTAAAGATACTCGAGAAAGGTTCATTTCTGTCCTGTGAATGTGACTTTTTAGTATTGATACCTGCTCAAATGAGTATCTAGTATTAATTTAAGTTTTAGTAATGAGTATTTCATTTTTGATACTTTTGACAGCCCTATGCGCATCTTGTTTGTGCCTTTTCCATTATGACAAATATTTAACTATTGGCTTGTATTTTGTGAATGCTTGCTGTGTTCTGAAAATCTGGCAACCCCCTCTGCATGTCTTTTTCCTCTTTCTCTCCAGGATCGAGTCACTGTCCCTGCTTGTGCCTCTGCTCCCATAGTTGCCACTTCTTTAGACTTTGAGCTTGTATTTTTAAAAAAGTTTGGGAGTTGAATTTATTTTTTTTTTTTTAGCTTGTTGCTTGTTGTTCTCTGAAAATCTGACAACGCTGTTTGCTCCTCCTCTGTCCCCAGGATCAAGTCAGCTTCCCTGGGTCTACCCCTCTGCTACTCCACTGTCCCCCCAGGATTGAGCCTCTGTCCCCGGGTTTTTCTCTGTCTGTTCCCCCTTCTGCGGTCTAACCCTGGAGCCCTGGTACACTTACACGCACTGGTACCCCATGGCATCGTCCCATGTGAGGAAGGACCCCCCAGACCCGGTGCCCAGGATGCAGCCCGCCATGATGCTTTTCTCATCCAAGTACTGGGCACGCCGCGGCATGTCTCTGGACTCAGGCATGTTCCAACAACAGAGCCAACCCCAGAGGCACACTGGGGGCCAGATGGTGAGTCCAGCTGGTTTAGTCCTGGTTTAGTCTCATATAAATTTTCCAGACACTCAAACCAGTTTAAATAAACCCCATTTATGCATTATTTTGCATTCTTCATCCATCTTCATTTTTTGCTCTGTATTACTTCTGTACAGTGACAGCCAGGTCTCTTTTATTCAGCTGTGACTGCAGAGGTGTCTCTCTTTGTTAGAGATTTGCTAGTTGCTTGATTTTTAAAGGGGATATACCAGATTTTGTGTAAAATTTAGTGTTTTGTTTAAAATCTTGCCACCATACACATATATTGTAGAAACAGCTCTTGGGTCAAATAAGTCCACTGTGTACTGTCTGCATGTAATTATAAAACATTTTATTATTGAAAGTTTTTCATAAACTCATGGTTGTGAATAATTGAGTTGCCAGAAAAACATTTAAAATAAGTAGTTCTTCTTATACACACACACACACACACAAAATCAGGTACAGCTCTGTTAATATATCAAATTTGGTCATTTGTTTTTTGGTGTTGCAGTCATTGCCATATCTCATTCAGCCTGCTCCAGGGAAGCTGTAGCTGCAGTGACTGAAGGCCTGTGTCATGCTCTGAGTGATTGACAGACGGATTTAACCGATCACAGTGAAGCGTGGATAACTTTAGTTACTTTTTAGATGCCATATAAAAAAACACTGCTAGTATTGCATACATGCCGTGTGACAAATTAAACATAGTGTTCCGTGCAGCACCTGGCACACACAGAGGATCTGTGAGCACCTGTCAGCACCTGTCAGCACTGGTCTGCACCTGTCAGCACGTCTCTATTTTAATAAAGTCTATTTGCTCCAGTCAAACGTTTACTGTGGTCTCCAGGGCTGCCACCACAACCCGACCTGCTGTTCAATATAACTGACACACTACACTGTCAGCGCCTCTTTAGTCACTCACTATGGACATGGAGGAAACTAAAACTGCCAAAGATCTCATTTAAAGGTCCTGTATTACACAAAATTGACTCTTGAACCTTAAGCCATGTTAGAATCTTGTTACTTCCTCAAAAATATAACTGGATCACCTGCTAGATACTAATGCCATACTGTGGAACATTGCAGGCAACCCTTACATTTAAAGGCACTGTGCCTTATTTCTTTAAAATGTGAAAAACAGAACTAGTTCATTTTAAATGGTTTGCACTGGTCTAAAGTTATTCCTCACTTACCTTATGCATTCGGATCATTCTAATTATTCACCACGATGAGTTTATAAGCACTTTTCTCAACTTTCAGGGACCGGAGTGGACTTTTTCTGTCATGGTAATGCCAACAACAACTAGCATGCTAACATGCACTGCCTAATTATTGAGGATTAGATGCAGACAGTACAGAGCGGACTTACTTTGACCTCAAGTCTTATACGTCTGTACCAGGGCAAGACACATTTTGCTCAAACACATGTTACATTCCCTTTTTTTTTGTTTCATTTTTTTTTTATTACTTTGACACACTTATGACACACACTTTATTGAAAACTGACATTTGCAAAACAACTCACACAGAATTCCAAATTTGATTGCAGCAAAATACAGTTTTACCGTTAAAACTCCCAGACTGTGATCATCTGAATTTCAGCTGAATCTCTTTAATTTAATAATTTAATAATAATTAATCTCAGCAAAATGCATTTTTTTTTTATTCGAAACTGATCATCTCCCAAAAACTAATTTTACTGTAAGAACTTTCACACTGTGATCATGTGTTTTTCTGTGCTCTTTCATTCATTTGACACTGCAGCTCAGAAGTTTTAGTCCTTCTCTGAGGGACCACAGAGAATCACTGGTTTAGTTCAGTCTGACTCTGAGGTTCACACTTCACACAGATAAATTTTGGGCTGATAAAGCTGTAGTTTTTATTCTAAAACCTGTCTGTATTGTGTTTTGTAAAATATAAAAGTACATTACCAATTGCAAAGTAGATTTTGTAGTATTTAATAAAAAAAATATGTATGAGGAAGAAAACTTAAAGCTATTGGAATAGCAAATCAATACTACTTTGGTACTGTAATATGTAATGTGTTCTTGAAAATCAAGCAGAACTTTATGTATCTGAAAATGTCTATTATAGTCTATACATGTTTGATTCATGTGTGAAATGTTTTGTTGTTGTTGATTTTTAGTGCTAGTTGTGTTTGAGTTTCTATATTGAAAGTGATAGTTTGGGCCAAAGTTCACATGAGAACAGACCTGTAGTGTTGAAAAAAACTAGCTGAATTCATTGATCATGTGTGTTTGTGAATGAGAGCTGTGCTAAGTGTTCTGAAAAGAGTCTGGAACTGTGTGAACACATGAGTTCCTAAACAGAACTTCAGTTTTCCAAAACAAAGTTTAATCTCAACAAAATGCAGTTTTTCATTCAAAACTATTCAATCATTCTCTAAAATCACTCTCCTTGTGTGTTTTTCTGTGCTCTTTCATTCATTTAACACTACAGCTCACAAGTTTTAGTTAGTTAGTGTTTGGTACAGTCTCACACTGGGATTCACAGTACATAACCAGTTGCATAGTAGATTTTGCAGTATTTGTTCAAAAATATATGTGGAGAAGAAAATCAACACTACTTTTTTACTGTAAAATGTAATGTTTTCTTGAAAATGAAATAAGGACATTATGTCTCTGAAAATCTAAACAACTAGTACTCAGTGTGTGTGAAATCCTGCTGTGTTATATTTTAGGTGCACTGCTCACAAATTTTGATTTGCTGGTATGTTTGAGTTTCTATATTTAAAGTGACAGTTTGGCCCACAGTCTTTTACCACTTGAGAACAGACCTGTAGTGTTGAAAAAACAAGATTAATTCTCTGATCATGTGTGTTTGTGAGTGAGAGCTGTGCCAAATATTCTGAGAAAGATCCTGAGGACTGTGTGAAAAATGTTCCAAATGACGTGAGCACCTGTGCTCCTTTTCAGATACATGTTTGAATCAAAAGATCAAACTAAACCAAGTTTCAAAAAATTTCCTAAAACGGTTGAAAAAAGATGTTGCTCATAGATTTAAAAGTCCTGTAAAAGTAATCTTATAAAATAATCCTTAGTAGTAGTCCTCACTACAGGATCATTTTGGTCTCTCTCCTTTGATCCTCTCTTGTCTCCTCTTTGGGTAACACTTCCTCACCCATTGCCTGCACAGTCGAGGAGAGGAATCAAGGAGAAGAAAGCGAGGAAAGAGAAATGTGATGTGGCCTCTATTCATCCATCTATCCATTTATCCTATCCATCTATCTACCATTATACCTCTGTGTGTTTCAGTCTCGGCGGCCATCTTTCTGCCCCATAAATGAGAAGCAGGAGAAGCAGAGTGAGGACTCAGGGCGCACAGCGGTGGTGTTTTCTCTCAAGAATGAGGTGGGAGGGCTGGTCCGAGCGCTGCGAGTATTTCAGGTAAAAGGTCAAAAACAAAAAACATTTACACATGCATTCTGACCTGAGAATATACCGGCATTTTACCAGAACAGGGTCATGTGTGAATGATGCCCAAACAGATTTTCCCTGCATTTGTGGTCTGCTAATTAACTGAGTAGATTACTGGGAATGTGCAGGGAATGTGTATGTGTGAATAAAACCAGGAAATTGTCAGTATAACCAATTGGTTTCCTTGGGCACAAACTTGGTTTCTTTGTTACAAGTTTGGTTTCCTGGTTACGATCTTGGTTTCCTGATTATGAGATTAGTTTCCTGGTTATGAGATTGGTTATGTGGTTACATTCTCAACATAAATGCCAGGTTGATGCTGAGTTCACATCTCTAGTTGGATGCCTATTCATTTGAGGGCAGATGCTTGAAACTTGTTGACTCCTTTCCCCCTCTCTCCTCCTTACTTCCTCTCTTTCCTTCTCTCTCCCCTTTTTTCTCCTCCCTCTCTTTTTTCAGGAGCGCAGAGTAAACCTAAACCACATAGAGTCTCGTGTGTCGAAGCGGGTCTTAAACGAGGTGGAGATCTTCGCTGACTGCAGCTGCTCCAAGAAAGAATTTAATGAACTTCTGCAGAACCTGAAAGACCACGTCAATATTATATCTTATAATACTCCCATAAATGCATGGTCCGCAGAGGCAGGTACGAATACTGCTACCACTATTACTACTACTGTTGTCTCCACCAATCTTAGAATCCCAACATGTGTTTGTTTGTAGATGACGAGGATGTTCCCTGGTTCCCGATGAAGATCTCAGAATTGGACCAATGTTCTCACAGAGTCTTGATGTATGGCTCTGAGCTGGACGCTGACCATCCAGTGAGTTTTACTATGGTTAGATCTTCCTTAGACCTGGTCTAGACCTGATCTAGTCCTCATTTATACCTGGTTTATGCTTTGGATAATCCCGGTTTATAAAACATGAGTTGTCCTAGGTTTGGTCTGATGTAGATCTGATTTAGTCCTGGTTTAGACCTGGTTTAGCCCTGGTGTAGCCCTGGTTTATTCATGGATAAAAAAAAAAAAAGGATATATAGTTCTGTGCAGAGGACATTATACAAAATGACTGCAGCCTTAGCGATTTGCACAAACTGAAATTGCAATCTTGATTTGATTTCGATATTGTGCAGTCCTAATCCTGTATAGGTCTGGCTCTGGGTTAGTCCTGGAGAAGACCTTGTTTAGTTCTGGTGTAGATCCAGTTTAGACTTGACTGTTTTTGTCCTATTTTAGGGCTTCAAAGACAACGTTTATCGCCAGAGAAGGAAGTACTTTGTGGAAGTTGCCATGAACTACAAATTGTGAGTATGATCAGGAAACTAGACCTGGTTCATCTTAGGTTTAGTCAAGTTTTAGCTCAGCCGTAGTCCCTTTGTCCCTCTGTGTTTACAGCCTGTATTAAGGTTCTCCTTGATGTGACAAGTAAAAGATTTGAGCATTTCTTCTCTCATTTGTCCAATCCATAAAATGTAAACTATTAGAATTTATTTTAAAGGAGACTTTTATAAGCTCTTATCCATGTACTACACTGTGCTTATTATCCATTCACTCCACACTAGATAGTGGTAATTTACTTGTGTAGCCACAGCTGCCCTGGGACAGACTAACTGAAGTGAGACTGCCAATCTGCACCACTGGCTGTTTTTGTTTTAGTCCTGGTTTAGTCCTGATTGAGTCCTAGTTTATACGTGATGTAGTCCTGGTTTAGTTGTAGTTTACACTTGGTATACATAGTCCTGTTTTAGCTGTAGTTTAGACCTGATCTAGTCCAGGTTTAGTCTTGGCTTAGCCCTGGTTTAGTCCTGATTTAGTCCTCTCTTGTATCCTCCCCCAGTGGGCTGCCGATCCCACGTATCGAGTACACAGAGGAGGAGGTGAGGACTTGGGGAGTGGTCTTTAGGGAGCTGACTAAACTGTACCCCACTCACGCCTGTCGCGAGTACCTGAAGAATTGGCCCCTCCTGACCAAGCACTGCGGCTACAGAGAAGACAACATCCCCCAGCTACAGGATGTCTCCACCTTCCTTAGAGGTACAGTCTGCACCCCCACACACATTTCAGGAACTGTGAGTAGTCTGCGCTCTTACTGTTTTAAAAAAACATCACAACTGAACGATCACACCTGAACCTACCAGGAGGATCATCTGGGTTGTAGTATAAAACAAAGTAAAGCTTAATGCCTTTGTGTTAGAGCTCCGAATAAAGCTCAGAATGTTTTTGTAGCTAAAAATAAATCAGGATTACAAACAATTGTTATCAGTAAAAGCTATATTTGATTTGCATGTGTTTACCTTATGTCTGAGAATACAGTTAGGTCATATTTATGGAATTTAAAATTAAAATATTACATACATTTCCTTTATATAATGCTTTTTTTTTTTTTTTTTTTTTTTAGCTCAAAGCTCTCTTGAAAAACATGTATTCTTACTGTGAGCGGGTGTCGTGAACCCCCCCTCAGCAACAGGAGAGCTCACCCGGGTCGGTTAAAAAGATGAAGGTTTTGGCATAAATTCCATTGAGGGGCTCCTGACATTCAGATGAAGATGTTCATAATGCTTTATTTCATTAAACGAATAGCTGTTAGAGCATTAGAGATTAAGAATGATTGATTTAGATGATAGAGGCATTTTTGTGATCTATATTAGCATAAGTTACTTGTTTTATTTTGATTTAACCTGACTTGTTTCTTTTAAATTGATTTATTTGATTCATCCAACTTAATTTCCAGGTTGGGTTGTTTGGCATTAATTTTTGTAACTACTATGTTTGTGTGCAGGAAACATGCAAACAAGAGTTTCCTGGTCTTTTGACAGTTAACCCTTGTTTGACATTGTTTTTTGTAACATTATATGCTATGTTGTGTGCAGGAAACCTGCAAACAGACCGGTTGCGAGCTTCCTGCTCGTTCGACAGTTGAACGACAGTTGAACCTCGCATCTGGGCTCGGAAGAGGCGCCTTGCCTGTGGAGCGATGTTTGCAGTTTCCAAAGTGTTGTCTGTACTTAGAAAATGTGTGCTATATGTGACGTCCTAATCACTTTGCATGTACCTGGGTGGAGTCCTGTGACCTTAGAAAGACCTGAAGGATATAAATACTGAAAAAATCTGCGTAGAAACGTGATCCTGATTCGGTTGGCATTGACCCCTCCGGCGTAACTTTGCTAAGGAGGTCAGATCCTCCAATTTTGGACTAGGCAGCGTTTTATAGCTTACCTGGTCACAGGGTAATTTCTCCAAAAGGCTACTTGCATAGTGATTTGTCCTAATTGTTTTTGTATGAGCTTTTAAAGAAAAATAGCGGCTACCGAGTGAGTTGGTCATAGTCATCCTGTTGTGAGCTTTCCAGGCCTAAAAACCTTGAGTGAGCGAACTTTAGCACAACGATAAATGATGGTATCAGCCACATGAGTAGTGCATAAAATTAATAAAAAGCCGAAAAATAAGACAAAGACAGATCACTTGTTGGGATCTTTTGTTGAGTCTCTCCCTTTAATTAATATACATATATTCCTACCACGAGCAAGTCCAGTCATCCCAGGTGAGTTATCTGATAAAACGCAATGTTGGGGAAATTTTCTGATGCAATGTTTTTGATGCAATGCTGAATTTGGATAAATGTTTTGAAGCACTGCTAAAGATAAGTGAATATTTGCAATGTTTGGTGTAAAGCTAAATCTGGATAAATGTTTTGAGGCACTGCTGAAAATAAGTTAATATCTGCAAGGTTTTGAATGCTTTGAGGTACTGTTAAAAATAAGTAAGTGTCTGGCAAGTGTTATGAGATAAGGTAAGAAGGGGTATGAATTTAATCTAATATATAGGGGGTATGTTATATGGTGTTTTCTAAAGCTAAGTGATATTTTAAGTGTTGTCTGAGTGATATTTTAAGTGTTGTCTAAGTGATATTTTAAGTGTTGTTAGAGTTATTTATATGGTGTTTTCTAAAGCTAAGTGATATTTTGAGTGTTGTTAGAGTTATTTGAAAAGAAGTGAGACTCAGGCCGCATAGTACTGGCCTGGCTTCTTAACAGCAGGATCGCCTGTTACCATTGGTTTGTCTCCATGGAGATAGTTAATACTAATGCCATATCTTTGTCAGAAACATCTCTGGAGTTGTGTTTTATTTCATTCACACATGTTTCTGTAATCCCACAGATTTAGTCTGTCGGCCATTGCAGAATTTAGTGGCTCCCTCGAACTCCTGTGTTTTTAAAGCCTACACATTTTATACTGAATATTTAAGAACTGTCACTGAATTGCCTTTGGTGAACTGGCTAATTTAAGTAATTCAGTTTCATTTTGTTCTTACATGCAGCGTTTTACATGTTCTTAATCTCAAATCTTTTATCTTTATGTTCAGAGCGCTCAGGTTTCACAGTTCGTCCGGTGGCGGGGTACCTTTCTCCCAGGGACTTTCTGGCTGGATTGGCCTATCGTGTGTTTAACTGCACTCAGTACATCCGCCACAGCACCGACCCTCTGTATACACCTGAACCGTGAGTATATATAAAACCCATACAACCAGAACCCCTGTATACACCTGAACTTTGAGTATATACAACCACATGCTCCCCTACATACCAGACCCTCCTACATACAACCAGATCTTCCTACATACAACCAGACCCTCTTACATACAACCAGACCCTCCTACATACAACTAAAGCCTCCTACATACAACCAGACTCTCCTACATACAACCAGACCTTCCTACATACAACCAGACCCTCCTACATACAACCAGACCCTCCTACATACAACCAGACCGTCCTACATACAGCCAAACCCTTCAAAATTCAACAATTCTCTCTACATGCAACCAGACTCCCTATACACTCCAGAGCTGTGAGTATAACTGAACACTCCTATACACCTTAACTATGAGTACAACCTACTGTAATCCCCTTCATACAACTGGACCCTCAAATGCGCACCCAAACCATCCAAAAATGTTGAAAGCAGTTACAACTACCCAAAATTGATGACATAACTAAATAAATCTGATCTAGTCAAATCAAAACAAGATGAATAGTTAATGGTGAATTAAAGCTGCTCTGACTTGCAGTACCACTCTTCTCCACAGGGACACGTGTCATGAGCTGCTGGGGCATGTTCCACTTCTCGCTGATCCAAAGTTCGCTCAGTTTTCCCAAGAAATTGGTTTGGCCTCATTAGGAGCCTCGGACGAAGACGTACAGAAACTCGCCACAGTCAGTACTATCTGTTAATATTGTTCGCGTTATTACAGCTACAGTTACTACAACTATTATTGCTAACCTGTGTGGTTTTCAGTGCTACTTCTTTACCATCGAGTTTGGCTTGTGCAAACAGGACGGGCAGCTCCGAGCATATGGAGCAGGTCTGCTGTCCTCCATTGGAGAACTACAGGTGAACAAACATGACTACTACTACTCCAAACACTCCTACTACTATGACTAAATTTGTCAACTGGACAAATGCTTATTTGGGTCTAAAACCACTTGACAAATCGAATTTGTTCTTTGCCATGAATTCTACCTGGATGACTGAGGGATTCTACACACACTTCTACAACTACCACCAACACTCCTACTACAACCACAAACACTACAACAACGACTACTACTACTACTACTACTACTACTACTACTACTACTACTACTATTACTACTACTACTACTACTGCAAAGAGTATGGATTGTAGAAGTGAGTTGTTTAAATGTGACAGTAGCTGTTGTGTGTCCACTAATCCGAAAGTTGGTGGTTCAAATCCCGCTCTTCACAAAATCATCATTGGTTGAGCGGTTAGTTGATGGCTTGAGGATCCTGGGCTAGGTCCTGATGACTGAGGACCACTAAACCTTATGGAGCACACACCTGCCCTAGGATACACTTTCCTGACTGTTCTTGTATCTTTTTTTCCCCAGCATGCCCTGTGTTCCTGACTCTTCCTGTTTTTTCCCCAGCATGCCCTGTCGGAAAAGGCCGTTGTGAAGACCTTTGACCCAAAGACCACGTGTTACCAGGAGTGCATCACCTCATTTCAGGAGGTTTACTTTGTGTCCGAGAGCTTCGAGGAGGCCAAAGAGAAGATGAGGTACCAATGTCCAAAGTGTACACTGGTGCATGAATGTGAGTGTAGAGTCCTTCATTTTACACTGTTCTGTCTGTTGTTTTCAGGGAGTTTGCAAAGACGATCAAGCGTCCCTTCTCTGTGTACTATAACCCGTACACTCAGAGCGTAGACCTGCTCAAAGACACAAGGAGCATTGAAAATGTGGTACACGATCTACGCAGCGACTTAACCACAGTCTGTGACGCTCTGGGCAAGATGAACACCTACATGGGAATATAACCCACAACCTCACACAACCTGCAACCTAAAACATCCTAATGAAACCTACAAAGGAGTCCAACTCGCAACCCACAACAGCCCTGCTAATGATGATTTAACTCACAACCTCACACATTCGTGCTGCTAATGAGACATTTGAACATGCTTTGCTCCTCTGTATGACCAGCAGAGGGAGACCCACAGCTTCCTTAGTAATTCTTAAAAGTGCACTATATGTAACTTTTCTGGTGGAGAGTCCCCCACCTGCTTGTCTCCATGGAGATATTATTGCTTTGCCTGGAATGTCCCATAGTATAGTGGGCGACAGTGGCTCAGTTGGTAAGAGTATTTATCCACTGATCAGAAAGTTGGTGATGCGATTCCACCTCCCACAGATGTATGCTGTCATTGTGTCCTTGGGCAAGACACTTAACCAACCTTGCCCCTAGTGTCTGCATACACTGATGTATGAACATGTGTGTGAATGGGTGAGTGGTTCCTTGATGTAAAAAAAAAAAAAGATAATTTACTATTTATCATAGTATAGCTTTAATCTGCAACCTGTCACTCTTCACTCACACCACAGTGCTGCTCTGTGATTGGTCCAGTCTCGCAGCAGTGGCACCCATGTATTCTTGTGTGGAGTATCTAAAGGCTATCACACACTATAGGACTTTTTGGTCTTAAATGATTTTTAAAGGTGCGACAAAAAGTGCACACCACAGTCACAAGGAGAATCTTATGAGACTTAAAATCTCAGATCGCAAAGACTGCAGCGGGATATGTATGGCTGTTTCCTGTCTACAGTAAAACCACTTGCTTTGAGACTCTTAAGTATTCAAAAGATCAGAGCACTGCACTTCTAGTTTAGACAGAAATCAAAACTGTGTCATTATTATTTGTGAGATATAGTGCAGTACTTCATATACAGGAATTTTAAAGCATAAAAGATTGGCAATAAAGTACACAAGAAGTAGAGTCAGTATCACTTATCTGCAGCTTCACCTGAAGAACTGAGGAACTACTCTCACCTTTTTACTTTCAAAGACACATCACACTGGATTAATAGCGCGGTTTTGTGGACTGGATGTCATTATTTGCAGAGGAAAATTTCTGTGGATAATGTGGATGAGATGCTGCACTTCAAATTTATCACTTCATGAGGGGTGAGTAATAAAGTCTTCTCATTATTTTCGCTCTATCCCGAGTTTGTATCCTGCACCTCTGTGTCCGTCACTCCTCTGCCCCGATGCTGTTTTATTGGTTGTTGCCGTAGTGTTGGTGATGTTGGTGGTTACGCTCTGACAAAGCAGCTCAGAGTCACACTGACACCACACTTGAGAAGCACAGCGGCTTCAAAATCTCACAGAAAGTTGGGTCACGCCTCCCCGAACTTGGAGAGAAGAAAATTACAGCCATAATTGGGCATATTCTCCTTAAGTGTGTGGCAGCCTAAATATTAGTTAAGTCCATAAAACTGTCACCTGAGGAAATGTGCAAAAACTGCTCAAACATACAATTAATCTGAACTTTAAACTAATACAAGAATCCCGTGCATGTCAGAACTTGTTTGTAGAGGTCTAATCTACAGGTTTTGCAGCTTTTACACAAAATAAGACATATATTTGTTCCAAAATAATCACAATGAGAAAAATAATCAACTTTCCTTGACCCCAAACCCACACTGTAAATATGTAATAAAGATTAAATGACAAACATATTTATTTTTAATGCTGAAACTGTGATGTAATCCATGTTTGGTTACAGTGTGTCAGTCCATTGAAGTTCTTAAAATAGTGAGCTTTTTGAATGTTTCATGCAGCGTCTTGTTCAGATGGAGAGAGCATGAAATTTACATTGGCTTTAAGAAGACAGACAAGAGAGAGACAGAGGACTGAAATACTGACTAACATAAAAACTCAAACTCACAAATAGTACACTTCAACTGTTCAAAATGACCCAAACATTTTTTTTTTTTTTTGTGTCCAGATGTTAGATTTAGGCCTGTCACAATAAAGCATTTTGAACTACAATATATTGCAACAGAAATAATCAGAATAAAAGATAATATTTTATAGGGATGTAACAATAACCGAAATATCATGATATGGTATCGTCAAAGTTCTCACAATAATATTGTGGACCATCACAATTTATATGGAATTATTAATTAAGAGTTATGGTGCAGCAATAGCTAAAAAAAGACAGAAGGAAATACATAGACCATGATTCTTTGCTCCATTTCAGTGTAGACTACATGAAGAAATAACACTTCTAAGCACATTTAAGTCTTGTCAAGACATTTTAAGAGGAAAAAGTAGTATATTAACAATTTTGTTAGCCACAAAATATCGCAATAAATATACTGTGAGATGTATATCATGAAAATATCGTACCGAGAGATTTGGATATTGTTACATCCCTAATCGTGAACTTCCCCACCATATCGTGAGCTTTCCCACGATATCGCAAAAAAAGATCGTACCGTGAGGTTTATATCATGACGATATCGTATCGTGAGACTTGGATATTGTTACACCCCTAATACTTTATGTACTTTGTCAACCACAATTTGAATTAGACTAATCATTTTATTTTGAGTTTAAATGATATTATGTAATTTTCTGATCTCTTATACAGTAGTTTCCTCATCACAAACATATCTGGAGCTGTGTTTTGTTTCATTCACACATGTTTAACACACACATCCTGCAGTAAGTCGAGATAATTCCCATGACAGGAATAGTTAGATATTATTTATTTATCTATTTATATTTATTTGCTTTTATTTTAGGCTACTGAAAATATTGAATTTAAAGATGCACCATGTAACTTTTCTACAGGATGGTTGGCCACGTGCTTCCTCTATGTTATTACTTTTCCTGTAATGTTCCAAGTATTGTATTGGAGTGATCCTAACAGTGAGTTCACATGTATGACGTCAGTTGAAGTCCACTTTCTCTGATAAATGCAGTGGGTTACATATTTATTCTGTACAGTGCAAACAAAACTATAAAAATATGAAGTGTGTAACATATGTAATAAAGTCTATTTTGTTGTCTGGTGTGCTGCAAATGAGTCTGTGCATTTGTCATTTGTTCTAATTTTCCTGTTTTATTGGCAAAATGAGTGAAATATCAGGTTAGACAGGCTTTACTAAGCATTAATATATTTTAAGGTTTACTAAAAATGATGTCAATTTTTTTGTTGTGTGGTGTTAAATTCTGGTGAAGTTTAGATCTTACTTCCTGGTTGGACACGGGCAGCAGATGTGACATGCGTAGAGGTGGTTTCATAATTGTTACTGTTGGCGTGTTCCAATTGTAGAAAATAATGACTGGAATTGACTGATTGAAATCACCAAAATGTATTCTCTATCCAATACAATTCTAATACAGAGCTCTGGGTCAGACCACTATCCCTGATTGCCTATTCTACACAGGTCTTACTTCAGGCAGTCTGAACACCTGCATCTGTCCCTTATCCCAGTATATACATTCACAGAAATATGCATAATGATATGTTGATCAGGTTCACGCCTTGGATCCTCCCTGAAGCCTCTCCGTTTATGGGAATGACCGGATCTATTTAGGTTTGGTGCCAGCCAGGATGTCCCCTTGTCAGCTGCTCTGTACAGAATCTCCTTAAAAAGACAACCTACACAGCAGTTTCTTTAAACACATGTATCAGATTTCAGTAGTTAAGCATTAATTGTGTGACTTCATTAACAACATTTTAAACAAATATATAATTTCAGTATTTAATAATTGCATGTGGTATATTTAATGGTCAGAAATGTTAGCCAGGCTGGCGCCACCAAGTGCCTCAGCTCAATTAAATTTCTCTCCAGCAACTAGGTCAGGAATCAGAATACAATAGACGATTTGCAAAAACCCCAGCCAATCAGTGAAGAGCCATACATTCTGTGTTCTCGATCTCTACAATCCAGAGATCCAGGATTTAAAGCTGGAACAAATGTGAGAATGTTTGGTGAATTTTATCAAGGGGAAAGAGCCCTTCTTACTACAGAAATTGTGAAAAACTTAATATACTAGTTAGCCCTGTTAGTGGCGCATTACATACGTCACGACCAAATAACCTACCGTCGAATGAACGAATTCTATCTTTGCGAGGTCAGACGGTTTCTACGAAGTGAAACTGGCTGATGAATCAGGCTACAGAAATGTGCCTTTGTGAGTAATTTGTTTTCTATGTTGATGACATTGGTAGAGTGATTCTGTTTTAGAACTCAGCGCTCCTTTTTGTATTTTTGTACTTTTTTCCCCCTACAAACTGCAACTTAACTGAAATAAAACTGATAAATATTTCCCACAGGTACTATTCCGCCAATGCACATACATGTGTTACCTACTCTGCAAAATGGACTTTTCAGAGCTCTTAACCATGTTATAGTTGTTTTCCTTCTCACTGACCCTTTGAAGTTGTATTTAGGGTCATGCATGCATGTTTGAGTCATTTTTACTCTCCTGTATTCAAGATGTCACTGCTTGGGTCTAACCCCATTTTCACCACCACCGGTACACACCCACTGTGACGTTCTTACTTCCTTCTCCAATTTTATTTTCTTAATCTGTCATACATGCAGGATTTGTTAGCATTGTGTAGTCATTTTGGTACTAATGAAAAAAAAATCTGCTGCTCACTCGTGTGATGTGCAGCTATCCATAGAAGCTGCTGACAGCATGCGGCACTTTGTTGTGATGACGATGATGTTTAGAGCAACATCAGCTCCCATTAACTTGTTTTAAATGAATATTGCTATTTAAAATGTAAAAATGTATCCATGGGTGTCAAGATTATAACTATTATTATACTATTAACTAAGCCCATGTATTTGAATGGCAGCATTAGTCAAAATGATGTGGGGTTGTGGTCTGTGGGTCTAAGGCTGAATTTGCATGTTAAGTTTTTCAAAGATGCAAAAAAAACATTTTTCTTAAAAAACAGGCAAATGTTGTCCTGTAAATACAAATTATAGGGTCAAGCCACTGCTGAGTCCTGGGTCCTGGTTAAGTTCTAGCTTAGTATAAAGATTTGTTCAAGTACTGGTTTAAAATTTGGACCTGATATAGACCCGCTTTAGTCCATGGCTTAGTCATAATTTAGTCCTGGGTTAAACTTGATTTAGTCCATGCTTTAGTGTGTTGGTGTGTTCACACTTACACAGTCACCACATCAACACTGAGACTAAACTAGGACTGTCCCTGGACTAAACCAGAACTAGAACAGGATCAAACCAAATCTACAGGGGCATGAAGGGCCCATATTATGCTATTTTCTGATCTATGTTAGACTGTTGTTTCTTCATCAAAACATACCTGGTGTTTTGTTTTACTGTATGTTTAACGCACAAATCCTGTGTATTTAGGCAGAGTTCTTCTCTCAAACAGAAAACGCTCTGGTCCACCTTGTGATCTCCACCTTGTTTCTAAAACCACACATCTTCGCTAGAATCACTGGGATAATTTCAGCCCTAGAATTGCTCTACTCAAGATAAAAAGGTAGCTGTTGACCTGAAAACCAACACTTCATAACACCACAATTTGGAACAGATCAGACTGATAATGCAGGATTACACAAACATGTGTGAATGAAACAAAACACATTATAAATTAAAGCTCACAAAAGTCCATCTTGAGTAATATAAACTGTCTCAGTACTTGTTTATTCCTGAGTTAGCTCAAATTGTGGTTTAAACTTGATTTCACGTAAAAAACATATACACAAAAATTTAAACTTAAGCAAATATCCTTTACATCAATGCAAATGTGAGGAGTTTAAAGAGAGGAGAGGAGGGTCTGCAGAACAACAGGCTTCAGACCAGTGAGAAAAACTGACTCCCACCAACCACACAGGTGCCTTTACTTTTATTTCACTTTTTAAATGTTAACTACCATTAATGTTTCTGTGGTGTCTGTGCTAGAGCGCAAGGCTAGTGGAAGTCTTTGGAGCAGCAGTTCCCAAAATGTGGTACGGGCACCACTAGACCTAAGGAGTGCCGTTTTGTCTATTTTTTTTAAGAATATTTGTTATTTGGATGTATCATTCTAGTCTAACTGTTATAAATGTAAATGTGAGACTTGCTTCAAAATAATAAAAGCTACACTAACTAGGTTTTGCGATGTGCACAGTTAGGACATGATAATTGCTCTATCGACTGATTGTGGGACCAGTATTTATTGTGGGTACTTTCTGAGTACACCTGGGGACCTTTTTGTTATTTGTCTGTGCTATGATAAGATTTTAGCTGCAGAGGGTGGAATAATTAACTTCCATTGCTCATTATAGATACATTCAAGCTTTTTAACAATATTCAACATTTAGAAGAGGGTTTAGTGGGTTTATCACACTTTAGGATTATTGTGTCACGGGCATAAATTGGTTTCAATATTATCATTTATCTTCTGTATCATACTGCAAAATGTGATACTGGCAGGCCTATATAAAGTGTACAATGACATTTACTTTGGGGGAGTTGGAGTAGTTAGTGCACAACTGATCATCACAAGTCTCAAGGGGTCCGAGTTTAATCCTGGTTTGGAAAGTTTGTTTAGACCTGTTGTGGTATTGGTTTAGTTTTACTGTAATCTAAGTTTAGTTCTGTTGTAGTCCTGGTTTAGTTCAGGCTCGAGCTGTGAAATTTTAAGACATAGTTTAGACCAAAAGGCTCTTGAAAAAGAGAGACAGATTTTTAATCTCAATCTTTTCCTGGCTAAATAACTAATAATAATAATGTTTGATGTTAAATCTGGCAGAACCTGCTTGTCAAAGCCTGCTCTCGTCAAATCTCAAAAGGTAAGTAGCGCTGGGTCTGGTTAGTACTTGGATGGAAGACTGCTGAGAATGCCAGGGGCTACAGTGGGGCGCCAGTGGCCAAAACTGTCATTGTGTCCTTCAACACTTCAAGCACATTGCCTAGTATGAAAATATGTGCATGAATGTTGGTCCGAGGGGCCAGTGGTGCAGATTGGCAGCCTTACTTCTGTCAGTCTGTCCCAGGGCAGCTGTGGCTAGAATAGAGTCTTATCACCACAAAGTGTGGAATGAATGAATAATGCACAAAATGATATAATGACTTTGAGTGTCTGGAAAAGTGCTATGCATGCATGATTATTATGAATAATTTTTTGTTTGTTTTTAGGTTGCAATCTACAATGGGCAACAACACCACCTCTAGGGCTTTTTCTTCCTTCTCCTCTTCTACCTCCTCCTCTTCCTCTCTCTCCTCTTTCCCCTCCTCCTCCTCCTCTTTCTCATCCTCTGCTTTTCTCCCTTTTCCATCAATAACAAACTCCAGCTCCAACTCCTCTCACACATTTGGACTGTTCTCTCTGTTTGAGCTAACCTGGATAACCGTAAGCATTAGCGACATGATGAGCCACTGCAGTGGCATTGAATCGGGCACATTTCTCTGGCTCGGACTCAAAATCTTCACCCTCATCACGGCTCTGCTGGCCAACAGCGCCCTCGTGTGGCTGCTCTTCAAATCGCGACACAACTTTTCCCCATCACAACTGTTAGCTTTCAACATCTCCGTCGTCGACGTCCTGTACTGCCTGTGTTTGCCAATCGAATTCTACGCCATGCTAAGCGAAAATTCAGAAACTTTTCATAAAATCATTGAATCTTTCAGAACTTTAAAGATTTTTGGTTGTCCTTTGTTTTTGACTCTCATGTGTTTAGAACGCTACATCGCTGCCGCATTCCCGATAACGTACATACGATTAGGAAAATGGAAACATCGCGTAATTCTGTGTGTCGTATCGTGGATTTTGATAATTTTTGTATCGATTTTGTCTTTCTTTTTTCAAACATTTTCATTTACTTTGTCTTTAGTGGTCATCATAGTTCTGTTGTTTCTGATCATGCTATTGTGTTTGGCTGGGATAGTATTTGTGCTGTGCCAGAGCGGACCAGGAGATGGCGTAAGCAGCAGTGATTCGCTGAAGAAACGAGCGCTGGTTAACGTCATAATGGTGATTGTGCCTTCAGCGATGGCCTACTTCCCCCTAGTGGTGTTAGTGGGGTACTTGGCGTTCATCATATCTAAAGGTGCACAGGCGTATACTCCAGAGGAGTGCACGGTGATGTATTTTCTGTTGGCGTGTCCAAGCATCGGGCTCTACATCGGACCACTGTTTTATCTGTCAAAGATTCGGCAAATGACCTGCTGCAAGAAGCAAGCGGAAAATATGACCTCTCCAACTCAAGCGGAGTAGCAGAGTGTAATTTTAAGTTACACTGTAAATAAAAAAATATTTAATAAATATAAAATATTTATCGTTTGTTTAAAATGATAGTATGATAATAACTTTCTGAAGATGGAAAGTCAGCTGCATGATTCAATGGAAATAAAAAAAGTGTAAACTATTCTCCATGGAGATATATATGATCAGAGTAAGGACAAATTTGTATTTTTTTTTTCTATTTTGGGGAAAAAGGTTTTATACTATGGCTTGGTAAAAGTTTGTTAACTATTAAATGAAATGTTTATGCCATATTTTCTACAATATGTGATAATCAAATGTACAAATATATTTGTTAAAACTACAAAAGAGGCCATTTTCAGTTCATGCTACTAAACTAGTAGAAAATGACTTCTGGAACCAAAACAGAGATGACTAGCCCTGAAACCTTCTCTACATTGAACCAGTCCTGGTCTCGATTGTAAAGACGGTAGTTTTTGTCAATTTTTAATGCCCAACATATGTATAACTCACTTTACAAGTTAATGTTGTAATGTAACATGAAACAATAGAAGTAACAGGACTTTAACATTCTAATTACTTAATTGTAATAAGTTGTACTTCATTATAAGTTACACTCACTTATATCCACAATAGTTCCCTTTAATCAAAAAATATTAGTTAAAATTAAGTTACTTAAAAAAACAAAACAAAAACTTGACATAGTTAAGTTAGTTGGACTATTTCTAAAACTTTGAGTATACACAACTTAATCTATTCAATTACTTTGGATGTTCGGGTTTACAGTGTGTTTGTGGTGTATCTTTTTTTAAAATGACCTCATATTTGTTCAAAAAGTAGTATTTTCTGTTAATTCATGGTAGTGTCTGCATTTATTTGGTTTAAATAATTTTGAATGGAATATTGAGTCATCATTTCACGCTGTGGCAATAATTTTATAAAGGACCCCAGGGTAGGACCAGCGTTCAATGCGCTAACCACTCAGCCACCGTGCCCCAAAAGTATGAAAAATGTCAGAACTTGCTAAAAAGCTGGTTTGTATCTGGCTGAGTTGCTTGTCTGTATCTGCTCCTGTCTCAAATGTTGAACTTTGTCTCCTATTGCAGTAATTAATTTAAATAATACACCATGATGCATATCATTATAATAGTAACATTTTCATTTAAGGCCGGAGCACCAGAAACTGGCGAAGGGCCTATTAGTATTTTTTTAAATAAACACATGCAAATATTTTGAAAAATGACAGGGTTAAGTTAAGAGTTGGGGTAAGGGTGGGGTTGGGGCTATGGTTAAGATTACGACTAGGGTTAAGTTTAATTTTAGAGTTATTAGGGTTAGTGCCAGTGTGGCATTTGGGAGCGCTGCATTTGTGGGGCGTGACTTTTGCGGGGAAAGGTGTTTTGCGGGGAAGAGTAGGCTGATCATTGCCGCTTGCGACTATATTACATTTTACATTGGTTTTACCACAGCATGTTTATCGTATTTTAGAATTTCGGGAACAACACAACCAATCAAATCTCTCACGGTCAGGTGAGGACTCCCTGCCGTCAATGACGACTCATCACGGAGATAATGACGAACCCTGTAAGAACTTACAAGTTCAGTTCCACTTTTGGGTCGGTTTGTGTCTGGCTTTCAGAGGAGTAGCACGTACTGGTAGCGCTGTGTTTTGTGTGTCTGTGTGTGTTTTTCTTTGTGTGTGTGCGGGACACAGGGAGAGAGGTACCCTCCGCTTTAAAGCACTTAAATGCACTTTTACAAACACTAAAATACTTGCATTTGACTTCTGTACTCGCATTAGCAGTAACAGTTAGTAATAGTACGTAGAGTTGAGTAACAAGACAGATAAAGGTTTAAAGTATTATCTAGTGGCAGTAGCAGTAGTAACCGAGTATTCAGTTGCTGTGTTGCTGAGTTTAGTGTTTGGAGTCATACTACTAGTAGTACTGATAATACTCCTTTTCCTCTACACCAAGAGGTCCTGCAGATGCTTCAGGAGTACGGCTCAGAGGACTACAACATAGCGCGCTGGTTCAGTTCCTTTCACTTCAGTGGCACATTTTGCCTGGAGTTTGAAAGACTGGACATCAGTTTATTTGACCTACTGCAACAAATGGGGAATCTTGATTCTGGGAAAAATCCGGGCTGTACTCTTCCAGGTGGGTTGTAGTGTCAGTTTTACACATGTGACAAATACAGAGGATATGAGGACATGCAATTTTTCATAAATATGCAAAAGCAAGATGCAAAACATTACACTATAACTTCGCAAACCAGATGCAATGTGCAGTAGTTTCATTAGCAAGTACACCGATTGCACTCTGAAGGTGGAGTGATTTTGAACGAGGAGCAAAGAGAGGGACTCAGAGTTCATATGTTGTTTTCAGCATTTCCAAAACAATAAACGGTAACATGGTGATCTAAATGTATTATGCGTTAACATTTAGTCCCCCATAGAAGTGTAATACCCCCTCTTTGATGAAGTAAATACAATGTCTGCCTCTTCTGGGAGTTCACATCAACAGTACAGAGTAAAGTGAATGATAAATCAATCAATCAATCAAATAGATAAATGTGGCCATACCAGCTTGTCAAAGCCTGATCCCATCAAATCTCAGAAGCTAAGCAGGGCTGGGCCTGGTTAGTGCTTGGATGGGAGACCACTGGGAAAATCAGGTGCTACAGGGGACGCCAGTTGTAAAAAACTGTTGTTGTGTCCTTAGGCAAGACACTTCACCCTCATTGCCTAGTATGAAAGTGGTCTGTGTGAGTGATGGTGGTGGTTGGAGATGCTGATGGTGCAGGTTGGCAGCCTCACTTCTGTCAGTCTGCCCCAAGGCAGCTGTGACTACAGTACTAGCTTACCAGCACTGGGTATGGAGTGAATGAGTAATGCTCTGTAAAGCGTCTTTGAGTGTCCAAAAAAACATTATATAAAACTGATGCATTTATTATTATTATAAAAGTGTTAGAGTGAATGACTTGTTATTAACATGTTTAAGCTTAATATGTAAAGCCATTGTGTGTCTTGTAGTGAGTCAGTTGTAACCCATGGTTGTGGTTCCTCTGTGCAGGTAGCGACAGCCCTCAGGTTTTTGCAGGGTCTGGGTTTGATCCATGTGGACCTCAAACCTGAAAATATCATGTTGGTGGACCATGTGTCAAGTCTCCAGGTGAAGCTCATTGACTTTGGGGTGGCTCACTCACATATTGTACTGCCTGTTACTGTATATAGACCGTATCCTGTCTCATGAATTAACATTACAGCAACTACTATTTCTTCTACTACTGCTTCTGCGGCTACGACTACTACAAAAATGATTACTATTACTACTACTTCTACTACTACTACTAGTACTACTACTACTTCTATTAATACTAATACTACAGCTACTACTTCAAAATTCTCCATCACAGAAGACGGTGCAGTTCTGAGGAAAGTATCTTCAGATCAATGTGAACCCATCTCCTCAGGACACAGCCATAGAGACAAACTCCCCTCCCTCTGCTCTCTCCATCATCGCCGTTCTTTCTCTCTACCCCCTCCCTCTCTCTTTCTCTCTGTCCTCTCGTCTTCATCCTCTCTCTCCCCATTTCTTTCTCTTTTCTTTTTCTTCTCTCCTCTCCTTCTTACGTCCAAGAGGCAAACTCTCCCCTTCTCTACACCCCTTCTTTTCTCTCATCTCCCCTTTTCCTCTCTCTCTTTCTCTTACTCGATCTCCTCTCTCCCCATCTTTTATTCTTCCTCTCTTTTTTTCCTCATCCTCACCCTCTTTGTCTGACTCTCTGTTCTCTCCTCAGTCCCCTTTCCTCTCTCCTCCCTTCCCCTTTCTCTCTTCTCTTTTCTCTCTTCTCCTCTCTACTCCCTCCCTTTCTCCCCTCAGCTCTCTTTCCCATACTGTTTCTCTTCTCCCATCCTTCTTTGTCTTTATCCTCTCTTTTCTACCACCCTCTCTCTTTTTCTCTTTCTTCCTCTCTCTCCTTCCCTTCTCTTTTTCTCTCTACCCTTTGACCTCTCTGTCTTTCTTTCATCCTTCTTGTTCTCTATCTCTCTTACTCTTCCCTCCTCTCTCCTCGCTCCCTCTCTCCATCCTCTTTCGTCTTTTATCCTCCTTCCCTCCCTCTTTCACCTTTTCTTTTTCTCCCTCAGCTTTTTCATCTCTGTTCACCTCGAACCCTCTTTTCTTTCCTCACCCTCTTTCTGTCTCATTCTTTCTGCCTCCTTCCTCAATCAGTCTCTCCATTCTCTTTCTGTTTCCTCTCCTCCCTTCTGCCTTATCGTGACTCTCCTCTTTTTCTCCTCTCACCTCTCTTCTTTCTCTGTCCTCCCCTCTCTCCTCCTCCTCTAATCCCTCTAACCCCTCCTGCCCTCTCCACCTCCTTCTCTTTTCTCTCCTCCCTATACTCTCTCCTCCTCCTCGCCCTCCATCCACCTCCCCCTCTCTTATCTCTTCTCCCTTCCTCTCTCTCCATTTTCTATCTTCCCTCTCCCACCTCATCCTCATTCCCTTTCCTCCTCTATCCTCTCCCTTCCTCCCTCTCTTTCTCTCTCTCACCCTATACTCTCTCCTCCACCCCCTCCTCTCTCCTCCCTCTTTCTGTTCCCTCTCCTCCCTTCTGCCTTGTCTCTACTCTCCTCTTTTTCTTCTCTCTCCTCTCTATGCTCTCTTCTTTCTCTGTCCTCCCCTCTCTAATCTTCCCTCTTTACCACCTTCTCTTTTCCCTCCTCCCTATACTCTCTCCTTCTTCCCTCTCCCCACCCTCTCCCACCTGATCCTCATTCTCTTTCTCCCTCTCACCCTATACTGTCTCCTTCTCCTCTCCCCTCCTCCCCCCTGCTCTCTCCTTCCTCTTTCTGTTCTCTCTCCTCCCTTCTGCCTTGTCTCTACTCTCCCCTTTTCCTGTCTATCCTCTCTTCTTTCTCTGTCCTCCCCTTTCTCCTCCTCCTCCCTCTCTAATCCCTCCCTCCTACTCCACCTCCTTCTCCTTACTCACCTCCCTTCCTCTCACGCCCCTTTCTCTCTTTCCTCTCCTCACCCTCTCCCACTTGATCCTCGTTCGTCACCCCATACTCTCTCCTCCTCCACCCTCCTCTCTCCTCCCTCTTTCTGTTCCCTCTCCTCCCTTCTGCCTTGTCTCTACTCTCCCATTTTTCTTCTCTCTCCTCTCTATCCTCTCCTCTCCAATCCCTCCCTTCCTCTCCACCTCCTTCTCCTTACTCTTGTCCCTATACTCTTTCCTCCTCCTTCCTCCCCGTCTTTTCTCTCCTCCCATCCTCTCTCTTCCCTCTCCCACCTGATCCTCATTCTTGTTCCTCCCTCCTCTCCTCCCTTCTGCCTTGTCGCTAGTCTCCTCTTTTCTTTTTTCTCTGTCCTCCCCTCTCTCCTCCTCCTCCCCCTCCGTCCACCTCCCCCTCTCTTTTCTCTTCTCCCAACCCTCTTCCACCTCATCCTCATTCTTTTTCCTCCTCTTTCCTCTCCCTTCCTCCCTCTCTTTCTCCCTCTCACCCTATATTCTCTCTTCCTCCTCTCTCCTCCTCCACCCTCCTGTCTCCTCCCTCTTTCTGTTCCCTCTCCTCCCTTCTCCCTTGTCGCTACTCTCCTCTCTATCCTTTCTTCTTTCTCTGGCCTCCCCTCTCTCCTCCTCCTCCCTCTCTAATCCCTCCTTCTCTTCCTGCTTCTCCTTTCTCTCCTCCTCCTCACCCTCCATCCACCACCCCCTCTTTCTTTTCTCTTTTCCTTCCCTCTCCCCACCCTGTCCCACCTGATCCTCATTCTCATCCATCCTCTCACCTCTCCCTCTTTCTCTCTCTCACCCTATACTCTCTCCTCCTCCTCTCTCCTCCCTTCCTCACCTCTCTCTCCTTCTCCCATGGGACCACCCTGTAGCTCAGACTGGCTTTAGACTGGATTAGGTCCCTGTTTTGGATCAATAAGTGCCACTATGAGGGAGGAGGCTCATCTGTTTCCCTGTACCTGGGGGAGGGACCATATTGTACGCAGAGTTAATGGACTCCACAATATTGAAAATGTGTCACTGCAAAAAACAAATATCTATTGTATAAAATGGACTTTACAGGGATTGTACTCTTATGTATTCAAGCAAAATGTCTTTTCCCAGTACAGAAATATTGTATAATCAGTTCTTGCGGTCAAAATAAGTGTTGTAGTGTGTTCTGTAATTATAAAGCTTTTTAACGTCTAATTATCAGGAAGTGCACATGCTAATAATTGAAAAGACCGTACAAATCAGGTAAAGCGTGTTTAATTTACAATAGTTTGATGAAAAAATTGTTTTGGAGTTTGTAAATTAGATTATATAGAATTATATAGAATTAGTCTTTTATAAAAGCAGAGCTGTAAAAAGAACTGATTCAAATAAAACTACTGCGTAGGGTGAGCAGAAAAAATTCTAAACTGGGACACACCCAGATTTAGCCTGATTCATCAGCCGGTTTCACTTCGTGGAAACCGTCTGACCTCGCAGCATTAGGATTCGTTTGCTTGATGGTAGGTGGGTACACTTTTTATTTAACCAATCGCTGCTGCTATTTGGTCATGACATATGTAATAATCCGCTAACGGGGATAACTGGTATATTCAGCTTTTCGCAAATCCCATAGGAAGAAAGGCAATAACGTTTTTCCCCTTGATAAATTTCACCAAACATTCTCTTTGTTCCAGCTTTAAATCCTCAATCTCAGGAATCGTTGCCAATACAGAATGTCTGGCTCTTTACTGATTGGCTGGTGCCCAGATTTGCACTTCCAGGATTCTTGCAAACCGTCTAGTGTATTTTGATTTCTGACCTAGTCGCTGGAGAGAAATGAAATTGAGCTGAGGCACTAGGTGGTGCCAGCCTGACTCACCCAGGTTAGGATGGTTGGTAGAAATAAAATGATGACTGTAACATTGTGCATTCTCATGTAAGTCATGATCTGAGGGACTTCTGTTGCTGCATTTTTTGCTTTATTGTCATTTGCAAATGCAGATCTCTGTATTTTTGCAAAACAAATGTCAATTTATGCTTCTCTTTAATGTTGGCAGGGATCAGATTAGTCAAAAAATTGTGATATGTGATTGTGTATGTATGAAAAAGAAAACTAGGTTGTTTTGCATAATAGTGAAGATTTCAGTTCGCAATTGTTTAATAATTGTGCCTGAACTGAAATGTACTGATTTGAAATGTTTAGTAACCATTGGTGTTGACGTATTGTCTTGAAAAGGGAAAGGGGGCAGATAACATAAGATGACTCTTCTTTCTGCTCCTTTTCATTCATTTCTTGTATGCTTGATGTTGTGACACTGTCGATGTCTTTTTATACTTTATGAATGAAATAAATAAACAAATAATAAACAAATCCTGGGTTAGACCTGATGTAGTCCTGGTTTAGATTTGGTTTAGTCCTGGTTTAGATCAAATTGGTCAAAAATAAGGACAACTGGGACATTTCTTGTATAAAACTGGGACAAATCAGTGGTTTTTTATAAATCTGATTGGACAGGGGACACAGGGATCAAAAATGGGACTGTCTCAGGTAAGTAGGGACGTCTGGTCACACTAAGCTTGCAGTGTAATCTTTTATAGACGCACCGTGAACTTTTCTGTTACTGGCTTATTTCCATGGAGATGTTGTAGTTTTGCTTCAAATATTCCACAGTATAACATTAAACATATAGTACATATCTTACACTTCAATTACAGGTGTTGGTACATGTGAAAATCACTAACAACACACATTCTTACTGTGAGTGGGCTCGTCTCTCCATAAATCCAGAGATGGTTAGAGTAGCCAAAACTTGTACTCAATAAGAGTAATGTTACTTTAAAATAATATTACTCAAACAGTAGTACAGAGTAGTGGTCCAAGAAATTTTAAGGAGTAAAAGTATGCTGCTAGAAAAGTACTCTTTTTGCTCAATTTCTTTTAAAAGTTACTGATCTGGTAGAGCATGGAGATAGATGCGTTTAATGCCATACTGTGGAACATTACATGGAGACATAAACGTGCCAGCAGATCCTTTACCAGAAAAGTTATATAGTAAGTCTTTAATAAATCAAAACTGCTCAAATTTAAGTCAAATATGTTTAGTTCAGTTTTAGAGTAACAGAGAGTGAACAGCAGGGGGCGACAGAGGACAGCGGAAAACGAGGGAGAGAAAATATGACAAGCATTTACCTTCTGTTTTATTTAATAAAGTTTAACAAACAA